CCCGACAACCGATGCCCCGTCTCTCGCTCAACAACACGGGTCCATTTCGACGTCCAATCAATGGACGAGGTCACGGCATACCAACGACTTGCCGGCAAACCATTAGCGGCACCACGCACCCTCGACTGGGATTACTTCGAGACTTTGGGCATTGAAGATGATCTCAGCCGATACATTACACTACTCGACCTCGTAGAGTTCGAAGACATGGAGCAATATGCTTACCGGAGCTTGACCCTCGAGTTCTTTAGCACAGTGGCCATGCACGACAATGGAAAGTACCTCACCGCTCGGCTAAAGGGGCAAGAGTACAAGGTCACCGACAAAGTGCTCTGGGATATTTAGAAGTTCAAAGCCTCCATCGGGACACGTCACAGTCCCATGGGATGGAAAGCCGACCTATACTGGCCGACCATCTCCCCGTGCGAGAAATTCAAGAGAGCTGGGGCTTCTTCGGGCTTACTCTCCGATGTGCCTCATATCGTGATCCACAAGTATATCTCACATATGATATTCGACAAGAAGGAGTCAAACAAAGTAAGTGAGCAGCAAGTATTCATCCTTTGGTCGATTTCGAGGGAAAAGTCTGTTAGTATGCTGCAGTATCTTAAGGAGTCCCTTTTTTATGTGCGAAACGACCCGAGGCGTGGGCCGACATTGGGGCATGTTGTATCCAAGATTGCCGAGCACTTTGGGATTGACATTGACGAGCCAAAGATCCTTGCCCGCTCGATTTCTCACCTGGAGCTCTATCATGGGCATTTCCTTAAGCCCGGCGGTGCTGTTATTCCCGTCCGCGAGCGAGATTGCTACAAGGCTTATTGTAAAGAAATGGGCATTCCTTTACCTGGGGACCAGTCGGCAACCGGCACGTCGACCGGACCAGCTCCAGCGACCTCTCATGACGGAGACGATGAGGACTCAGAGGCCGACGCACATCCCGAGCACGATACTTATCAGCCACCTCAGTCGATGGACGGACACCCGGGCACATTTTCACAGCAGGCTCCCGTTTGGTTCTCCTCGTTCCAGGCTTGGTATGACGAGAACCAGACTCGGAATGACGAGCAGAACCGGACCATCCACTCTGCGGTGTCGTCGCACAATGTGCAGCTCGAGTCATACATAGAGCACCATGATGCGCGTTGGACGGCCTACACGGAGCAGAATGTGGCCCATTGGAAGTCCTTCTTGGCGACCAATGACGAGCATTGGACAGAGCAGACAAGGGAGTGGAACGAGTTCAAGCAGAGCAACGAGGCACATTGGACGGCCCATGACACACGATGGGACACCTGGGAGGCACAGCGATACCAGTTTCCACCACCGCCACCACCGGATGCACAGTGACTTGTCACTGTGCTTTGTACGTTTTTCTTTCTCTTTCTCTTTTATTTTTGTATAGCTTCTTTGATTTCGAGTCGGTTTATTATATGGTCAAACTTTCTTTCACTGCGAATCGGCAATGGGGACATTGTCTGATTTTAAGTGTGGGGGAGTTTTACGTGCTTACGTGACTATTTGGTGGACAAGTCTAGTTTTCTTTTTAGGATGTTTTTATTTCTTTTCTTTTGCTTGGTGGACCGGTCTAGTTTTTAGGATTTTATTTGTTTTGTCTTTCTGAGCTCGGACTATTGTGAATTGTAAGATTGATTAATGACTGTCAGTTGAGTAGAGTGGTTGTGATGATGAGAACTGGTGGCATATCTTGATGAATTACTTGGTTATTTTGATTGACTCTATATACCTTGTGAGGTTTGAGCCATACTTGTTCTTGTGAGATGTTGGTCTGAAATTTATTCTGTCAGAATTTGCCTTGAGTCTACTTTGAAATGAAGTGATTGGATTTGTGAAACGTGAAAATGATTAGAGGCATTCCTTGTATTTTCTTCTCCTTCTCTTTCCTATGAATAACAGTCACTAGTCACCCCCTTTGAGCCTTATATGATTATATTGTTAACCTCATGATGATGATATTGAGTTGTGGGTTGAGAGTTGGAGGTGTTGGTTGATTGAATTGTGAATATGTTCATTTGATTTGATATTAAAAAAAAGAGAGAGAAAAAAGGGAGCCAAATGGATTATACTCCTAGCGCCCGGTCCACTAATTTAGCGGATACGAGCCATGAGTACGGGAAACCGGTCTAGGAGACTCGAGCAGAAAAATCGAAGGTTAAACTTAGATAAGATGTCCAAATGGTTCTCGCAAAAAAAAAAAAAAAGTAAAAAAAAATAGAAAAAAAAATATTGTTTGGGAAGTGTGTTAATTTTGGGTTAGTAGGGAGGAACCGATTGGTATTCGACAACCGGAAGAGTTCATGACTACGGCTGGGTGATGGAATTGAGTTAAATGTGTTTTTATCTGGGCCATTTAACCTATATGTATCCTACCCGATCCAAAGAGCCTACATTACATCCCTAGAAGTCCTCTTGATTCATTGTTTCACGAACTTGATTATTTTAGAGTAAAAGTTAGACAATAGGCAAACTTATGATTGATTTGATTGACGACCAACTTGAGCGTACCTATCTTATATTTTCAAAAGAATCGAGTGAGACATATAATATATTTTCGTACTTGAGAGTCTTTGTCTTTCGAAATAACCGAGTTACTAGTTGAGGTATGCGCTGATGATCATTGGAATTCTTCTCGATTTGATTGATTGGTTTGAGATTAGTCTTGCTTGAACCGTTGTCCTTGCTCATTTATTTGTTTTCTTTTCTTTTCTTTGTTCGGGACGAACAAAGGTCTTAGTGTGGGGGAGTTGTTTGTCCCGTTTTTGTTACTATTTTCGTTGCTATTTTGTGTGTCGTTTTCCCTGTTTTAGGTCTTTTCTTAGGTATTTCCGGCCCATTTTGTCGTTTCTTGTGTTTTTATCTTTATGATGTTGTGTTTAGTATTTTCTTTGTTTTTCCTCCTATTTTTCTTGTTTTTCGTGTTTTTCCGGCTGTGGTAGTTCCAGGTTCAGATGATGATAGCGGCATTCGGTTCCGGCTCCCAGGAGTTATGCATTGGTTCATGCGTCTAGAACATGCGAGGATTGAGTTTTTAGGTTGGAGAAGACCCGAGGGACGCTAGCCGAGAGCACGTAGCCCGAGAAGTAGTTTTTTTTGGAGCAGCCCAGACCATAGCGGCGATACGCATCATAGCGATGGGCTGCAGCTCGAGCATCTCCACCCATAGCGGCGCTATGCCCTGATTTGTAACAGTCGCGATTTTCGTGGATTTCAAATTTGGAGACTTATTAGATCGAGCCTAGGTTATTATTTGAGGAGGCCAGACTTCGTTTTTCATAGTTTTTTCATCTCTAGAAGATATCTTTTACTTGCTTAGAGCTTTGATTGAATTGTGGAGAGTAAAAAACTCCTTTTCTAGCTTTGGATTTGGATTTCTCGTTGCTCCCTCGACATTGGATTTATAGTAATCGTAAGCACTCCTTTTCTTATTTTGATATGATGATGTTTGCTTGGGTTGATAAATATGCTGATGTTGAATCGATCATGAGTAGCTAAATCCATAGGCTAGGGACATGGGATTGATGTTTCGGAATTGTGTATGATCGTGAGTGTTCGTTGATTGTTCTTCTTATGCGAGTCAATCTTTAATTAGGGTTTTTCAATCATTATGTTGGATTTTGAAAATTGTTGAAGGGTGACACTTCAACTTGCAATTGTTTCAATTGAATTTGATAAATTCATGCTTGATGTTGTTAATTCTAAACGGGCTAGTTGATTAATTACCTTCTAGTCTAAGTTAATCGACTCTTAGAACAGAAAGGGGAGGAGTCGCTCGAATTAGGCTCGCATAGGCTAGGCTTGTTCGTAACTGTATTGCCTAGAAGTTAAATGATTCGATAATCTGTCGTTCTAATTTGTTCTCTTGTTACGAAGAGTTATTGAGAATGAATTCTTGAACATGTCGGTTATTCAAATCACTTAGTTGAACAATTACTTGCTTGATAATCGCATTTCGAACCGAAACGGATATCCCCGAGTCCCTAGCTTCTCTAATCCTATTTGTTCCTCGTTTTCTCTTGCTATTTAATTTGCTTTATTCGAATTTCAATAGTTGATAATCAAAAACATCCAATCTCTGAATTAGAGTGTTTAGGACTTGTTTCTTATTTCTTGTGTTTGATTAATCGTGCAATTTATTCCGGCTGACCTTCCTCGCGATACGACCCGGTGTTCAAATCTTTCGATTCTACTCCGGTAAAAATACTTACAACAGGAAGCTTCCTTGTTCGTTTTTTTTTTCTTGGTGAGGGTTCTAAAATTTCAAAGTACGGTCCATCAATGTAGGGATATAGAGGAACGAGGGTTTTAGCGCTCGCCCAGTGAAGGACGTAATCAAAATTAGGGTTTTGAACCACCACACGAGTTACAAACGGAAAAAAGGAAAACACACCGGAAGGTACCCAATTGCCGCCGTCCCATTTGAGCCGCTCCTCCCACTCATCTCTCTACCACTAGTTGCCCTACTTTAGCTTCGTCACTTTCTTCGGGTCTATCTTGACGTTGTATATATTCAGTATATGTACAATATATATATATATATATATATATATATATCTTAGTGATATGTATAGTTATTGTACATCTTAGTTTATATTTGGTATATTAGTTATATACAAATTAATTATGTTTTTATGTACATCTTAAGTATTGCTTTTAATTGATGTTTGCTTTTTTATGTTTTAAACAAGCATAAACTGATTTTTTGGATAAAACAGTTTGATCTTAAATAATTTCAAAATGTACACAACACATAATTCAAGAATATCTTCTTACAACAAAAACCGAGAATATGACATGACAAACAACAACATTGATTGTAGCATTACCTTTTTAGTATGTAATTAATGATTTTGATGGAAATTCTTTCTAAAATGATGTGTCTTTATTCTTATGTTATTTTATATAGATAGATTATTCAACATTTTTGTAATTTTACTCCCATTATTGCCCTTAGTTTCATGATATATATATCTATCTGCAGCTTAGTTCCATAATTCCTGCCCTTGCAGTACAGCTGCAATAGGGCTCCTAACAGTGTATTTACAATAAGACCACTTTAGGAAGCCTTGAACAAATGGCTTGTTGGGTGCGGTCGCAAGCCGTGTAAACGTCACCTGATACTGCTTTTTCTCGTTCAGTCTTGAGAAGTTAAGTGTCTTGGGCTCGACAAGAACTTTGATGCCAACTGGGGGGACAACAGTCACTCTATAAGTTGATTCAGGGAAGCCGACATTCGTTACGGTCCTAGTATACTTGTGAGAAACTGGTTGACCACCCGTGAAATTAAGGACAAACGACGGATAGTTTAGCTGGGCTTCAGGTACGCTTATCACCTTCGAGCAATCCACCTTGTTGTGCTTCCAAATCATACGGACTTGTCTGTTTGTGTAGTTCAAAGCGCACAAGTAAGGGATGTAATCTTTGGGTTCGATGTCGTAAACGAGCCCTGGATCATTTGCCGCCTGTGGGTTCACGTGGCCAGATCCAGTTGCAAAGATGTTGGCTTCTTGAGAATTTGCGTCCTCGATTGGCTTCCCTGCACGATTCACAACATCTGCTGTAGTCATGATGGCCGACTTGATTGCTGCGGGCGACCATTCAGGATGTGTGCTCTTGAGCAGCGCTACCACTCCACTGAGGTGTGGGCATGACTGAGAGGTACCACTCAACATTTTGAAAGTGGATTTCACATTTGTTCTATTTTCGACAGAGGTTGGCCACGCCGCCAGGATGTTTACACCTGGGCCTAAAATATCCGGCTTCAAAATCCAAGGACTTACATTGTTTGGCCCTCTTGAAGAAAAGGAAGCAACCACTGGTGCATGATCGTCTCCAAACAAGGTTCCCCGAAAAAATATCTTGGCCTTGGGTTTCGCCGTCGAGTTTATATATCTTATAACCTCCAGAGCATCTGCATAGCCAATGTTTGCAACTGGGAGGAAGGCAGCTACCGCATATGTAGTACTCTCATCGTTCTTATCATTAACGATGATCACGGCAGCACAACCACTTCTTTTAACAACATCGTCATCATAGGAAAAGTCACACACGACTATCTTTCCTTTGACCTTGCTTCTCTTCAATGAATCATCAGTTGTGCAGTTTGGGGGATAAACAAGTGGCAGAAATTTCTGTGGGAAATCCTTTGGTTGGTAGGCCGCCTCGCCATTGAACTGCCTCCGCCTCTTTGGCAACACCACAGCTGCCATCAACTGCCTGTCCATAGTACTCGCACCAACAGTGAGAGCCCAGGGATACCCATTAAACATATAATAGTATTGAGGTCCACTGTTTCCCGCACAGAAGCTGAGAACGATACCATGCTCCATCGCTCTAAAAGAAGCTATTGCCATTGGGTCATCGTAGAATTGATATGGTGGAACGCCAAGAGAAATAGAGAGCACGTCCACTCCATCCTCCACAGCAGTGTCCATGCCAGCAACAAAGCTGGTCATCGAGCAGTCCTGTCTGCACACTTTGTATATGGCCAGGTGGGCATGTGGAGCGGCGCCGGCGGCTATGCCAGCCGCGCTGTCGAAAAAGTTTGCGCCCTCCACAAAGTTCCCGGCGGCCGTGCTGGCGGTGTGAGTGCCGTGGCCATCCTCGTCAAGCGGGCTGCGGGTTTCATTTTTGTGTAGTTCAGTGAAATCACGTGCTCCGATGATCTTATTGTTGCAGGTGTAGGGGTGAGGTAACTCACACTTTCCCGTCCATTTGGAAGGTGGGGACGACATTTTATTGTCGTTGAACGAGGGGTGGTCAGGCTTTATCCCGGAGTCGAGCATTCCAATGATGATGCCTTCGCCATAACCGTCCCGTTCCCATAGGCCCGTGTTTGGGGCACTCAGGCCAAGGAATTCGGGGGAATGAGTGGTGTGGAGGGATAGGGTTCTGTCCGGCCACGCAGATATGAAACCCTCCATCTTTGTAATTTCTTCGACCTCGTTTTGCGACAGCCTAGCGGCGAAGCCCGTGAGGACGTGGCGATAGGAGTAAATGATACGCGGCCGTGGGGCCTCCGAGCTCAATGTGTCCGCCACAGGGAGGAATGACTCGTAGTAAGCCGGTAAGTCGTTGACCAGACCTGCGTTGGGCTCTTCAACATGGATGATATAGGTCTGCAAAATGTTTTCAGATGATACCCATGTTCTGGTGCACAACATGACACAAAATATGGTAATCAGAAATATGGAAGCCATTTGAGAAGGTCTGTTTATCTCTCTCTCTCTCTCTCTCTTTCTCTCTCTCTATGGAATCAAGATTGTTTATGTATTGCTTTGTATTTACAGTGTACGTTTTCATATACTATTTATAGCATTTTATTTTTCTTGTAAGTTATCTTATTTTGAATACGGGCGATTCTGAATATGATTGTTTTGGTTGACTTTGAGTCCGCCATGTGCGTCTATGTTCGGTTGCTTCATAGTTTAAAGAGAGTGCTTTATAGTTTGTGTCACCCTATTCTCATTTACCTCTTTTAAAATAGCTAATAATTACATAATGTGTAATTCATTCATAGCTAAAGAAAATGGTGCTACCCAAGAGCGCTTGGATGAGATGGCTTGAGTCTCTTCCAGCTTAACCAGTGGTCTCGTGTTCGAGTCCTGGGAATGCAACAGCGTTAAAACTCTTGAGGGAGAGCTTTGCCGCCCTTGTGGTCCTAC